CCACGCTAACGCTAGTTTCATCGGCTGAAGCCGCCATGTTCTTTAGACTGAACTGTCGCGCTTCTCGTTGCGTCACACCTCAACTTGCCTCAAAGCCAACGCTGATTGGACGTTTGTTTGGTGAATGGCTCCAAATTTTCTTTAACGGAGAGTCACCAGACTGATCTGCGAGTGAAACCTTGAAAGCTCGCGAGATCAGGATGGTCTCACGAGGCTAGTGACTACTTACCACAGCCATCACAGCCACACAATCCCAAATGATACCCTTGAAGAATATACACATTCAAATATAGCTTTATCAGGACACAAGTTACATAAAGAAGTATGATTTACATCCCTAAACATCTCATAGAAACTGCATGTAATCATATTCTTCGAATTTATTATTACCCTAATAGAAAAAAGAGAAAGAAAAACAAAAACACACATTGAGGAAAATAAGTACTTGAACACCCTGCTCTATTCTCCCACATGGAAATCATGGAGGCGTCTGAAATTGTCATCGTACGTGCATGTCCACTGTGAGAGACATATTCTAAAAAAACAATCATTATATGATTTTTTAACTATTTATTTGTATGATACAGCTGCAAATATTACATCAACACCTGTCTATTAGCTAGAATTCTGACCCTCAAAGACCTGTTAGTCTGCCTTCAAAATGTCCACCTCCACTCCATTTATTATCCTAAATTAGATGCACCTGTTTGAGGTTGATAACTGCATAAAGACACCTGTCCATTGATTGTTGTGGCGGAAGGTTCGCAAGCGTGTTTGGTTGTGGCCGGTTTCTCTGAAGCATCTTGCTAACCAGTTAGCAACTTAGTGCTAGTAGGTTCACTGTTAAGGAACGCTATGGACAGCGGAAACATGCAAGAAGAGTAAAGCGGAAACGAAGTTGTTGTGGAAGATGACGCCAGGGCAGCAGAAGTTGTACTTAACAAAATTTCATCTTGTTTACACTTGTGTGTACGAAATGACAAAATAAAATATCTCTAAGTCAGAAGGTTGGTTGCTGTAGAAGGCTTAAGCCTTGCCTCACAACGCTGCCAGTTCTGTTAGCTCTACGCTTGCCGAAGACAAAGACGTCCATCCCCGTGAACACTGGGATGGAACTCAATGGGAAAGGAAATGATTCTTAGTTCTTATTAGCTGCGGCATATGA